GTGATGAGAGTTTAGATGTCATAAAATCTCTTCACGAATTTAAGGGCAAAATAAATAATTACGTTAGCTGGCGTGAAGCCGCCAATAACTCTATGTCGCTTTTTACCAGGGGGAGTAAAAAGTACTTCGCAGCTTTAACAATACTGCGTAATAAATTAACGCAGAATGCCAATGACATCTTGACAAATCATGGCACTGTTCTTAACTTCGACGCTATTTTGAGTCGATTGGACTTCTCATATGCCGATAAGAGACCCTGTCATATAATAGAGCAGCAGCAGAAAACTTGTTTTGACATGCTTTATCATGAACATGCAGAATAAGCAATAACAGCCAAAATTGTTATATATTAGTAAACAGATAACAACCGACGCATATCAATAGTATAAATATAACTAAGATTAATGAAAACTAGTTAGTCTTAAGAATATGAATAAAGATCACGCATTTAAGCGTAGTGAAAAATATATTCTTTTACTCAATATCGAAACAACGATATTAACTCGTGTAAAAGAGTTTGCCATTGCAAAAGTCACCCTGGTGGAACTTTTGCAAGCCGTGGAGTTAACTTAAATAAGTGACATAACACTTATTAGACATAAATACATAAAACCAAAATAAGCATATGTAAACATATCTATCAGCTAACACACTTGAAATGTACAACATACATTGTAAAATATAAATATCAGAGTAGTACTAAGATTTATGAAAACTAGTTAGTCTAAGGATTATGAATAAAGACACGCACTTCGGCGTAGTGAAAACATATTTCTTTTTCTCATATCGTAAAAAAGATAATAACTCGCGCGAAAATTTTAAATATAGCGACAACCACAAAGGCCCTTTTATAGTCTATCTAGATAAAAAACAAGTAAAAAAGAAAGCACGAGAACACCAATTAACGCAATAAGAGTCAGAAAACTCATTCAAGAACATAAAGTTGAAGATGTTATCGACATTGTGAAAATGGGATATGGTAGATGTAAAATTACTTTCAAAAATGGCAATGCAGCAAAGAACTTCAGTGAGCTAATCAACGATCAATGGAGGCGAGAATTTTTTCTCATTTTGTGTCGAAAATAGGAATAATGTTTGATGTTCCGACGGATATCTCAGAAGAAGAGCCACCAGAAGACATATCATCGCCAGTCAAAATCATACGAATAATGAGGGTAATTAGGACAAATGATAGGATAAAATACCCAACCCGCAGAGTGCAAATAATCTTTGATGGGTTAGAAATCCCTACAAGTGAAGCCATACGTAGCATTCGCACAATGTTATCGGTGCTTCCATTTCAACCACTTTGTTCAGCACTGCAAACAAAGAAAATATATTTGCTCTAAGTATGGAGAATCACATGACAACAGTACTAACTGCACAAGCGTGAAGAATGTAAATTGTGAAGGAAATCACGAAGCCACCGACAAAGAAAGCCCAGCGAGAGTCAAATCCTATGCCATGAAAATCATAACAACGTCAGAAAATCTAACAAACCAGGAATCAAGAATAAAATATAATGTCACAGAAGTAACATCGTCGGCATTTTTTATTTTTCCTCCGCTCCGCGGTAGAGTATTGATTAGTATTAATTGGTTTTAATATGACTAACATAGAGTCAGGTCGGAAAACTTAAAAAAGTTAGAAGTGTTTTTCCTTATGAAAATTAAGGTGATATAAATACATAGTTAAATAAGTTAATAAATAAAACTTATATTAAAAACCAAAAAGTGACTTTTTATTGGATAACCCGATGAACCTAACTTACATATTATTTCACCATTAATGGCTCTACGAACTTTTTACCAATAGGAACACAGAGGCTTAGAATGAAGTTGGCATCTCGTTGGCAAAAAGTTTGCGAACAAAACGGCGCATATTTGACTTGAATCGGACAAATGTACACAAAGTTAAAATATTTTGAAAAATCAAGAAAAAAAAACCGAACGGAAACTGACCTAATACATACATATATTTTTTCATATTTTCAGCCGATGTCATTCTTCAGTTTATAAATCATAAATTTACCTCAATATAAATGGCAAGTAGCATGGTATCGTTAACCCTAGCTGAGGATGGTTCAAAATTTACGGAAAATCTTCTAAGTGGACTTCGGCAAATTTACGATGAGCAGATAATGGTGGACGTAACATTCAAGGTTTATAATCCAATTGCTTTGTTAGGAAATACATATATGTAGATATTTCTTATAATTCGAGGGAATTGGATTTATCCAAAAGCTCATTAAAGAGTGAATACCGTTTGGTATTATCAGCTCCCAATACTTATTTCAAGACTCTCCGAACACTTGTAGTCTTGCGCGTGACAACAACCAACCAAATACAAGACAATAGAAGTACCACAACAAACAAGTTTAAGAAAATTTCTCCTCGATCATAAGACATTAAATAAAACACAAGTACAACCATAGAAGTGCTACTTTGAGTTAAATACCCGGCAAACAAATCTTTTTTGATACACAAGTGCCACCATATTGGTGCCACTATAAATAAATTAACAGTAGATAAATATTTGAGGCATTGCACGCCAAATTCGTTACCAAGGGGTGGATAACCATCTTTAACAACCACCAATACAATAATCAAGGAGACATACAACACATTAACATATGAACATGGAAATGTTTATGGTAACTCTGACCTCAAGAAAATAAAAATTATTTTTTTATTTTAAAATAGTGATTATAATTCTAACTGGGGACTCGTCCGGGATTACAAGTTAACTTTTTATCCAATTAGCCAGAGACGTCTTCGAAATAGAGAACTCTCATACAAATCCCCGATCCTGACGATGGTTATAAACAACAGTCCCCAAGAAGAATAAAACAACAGTTTCTGGTAAAGGAAATAATACAAACTGGAGTTCTAAGGAATAAAGGCATTCATATCCGACGAACCTATAAAACGAATCATTCTCCTCCTCTTTAAAAACCAAAATTAGTATAATGCGAATATGAAAATAACAAACGAAAAATCACATTTCCTTTCAAGTTTTTTAGAATACTTGAGATACGTAATTAAACAAAATAAGGAAACTGTAGACCCCAAGAAAATTGAAACAATAAAAGAATGTACCGTTCCAAAGTCATTAAAAGAACTTAGAGCATTCTTAGGACTTGGGAGCTACTACAAGAAGTTTGTTCGAAATTTTACAGTAATCACAAAGCCGTTGACTATACGCTTAGGTAGTGACAACGGCATAATTAGTAAAAACAAAAGTGCGAAAGTAGAAGTTAACTTAGATGAAACAACTATAGAGAAAATCAAGAATGCCCTCCAGGCCCAAGTAGAACTTTATCAACCTGACTTTACGAAACCCTTTAATCTGACTACAGATGACAGCAGTTTCGCCATAGGTGCAGTACTGTCATAAAATAGACAACCTATTGCTTTTATATCAAGAACACTCAATGAAGCTGAACAAAGCTGCAGTACCAATGAAAAAGAACTGCTAGCCATGGCATGGGCGCTACAGAAATTAAGGAATTATTTATAAGGAATAGCTAATCTAACAATATAAGGTTAATTTTTAATCATTATTTCGGGTTAAATCTTTTTTTTAATGTTATTGAAATCTACACCGAATTTCACGTCCATGTCATCATTGGAACGCTTGTCTTTACTTAACGACTAAAAGTGCCTTCGGCGATTTTTATAATGTCTGATTTAATTGAGCAAAGAAGTATACACTATACAGACCATCAATCTTTAATCTAGATGATCGAGAAAGATGGAAGAATTTAATAGAATAAATATTGGCACAAATCTACCCAAACGCTAAACAGTTAATGACCGACAATAAAAATTTTTATCAGTTTGCAACATTACTGATACGTATACAAGCGACTACAAATACAACATACAGCCACCGCAGTGTATCATTCAACAGCAAACGCGCACCTTAATCGAATTATCAAGTGTTTTGGATCGCGAAAATAATGCGACTCCAGCAGAAGAATTGTTTAATGCAATTAAACAATATAACAGAACCATACACACAACCACAGGATATAAACCATAAGAAGTATTCTTCATCCGTGAAACGCATCGTGATATTAAAGACAAACTTTGCGAAAAACAAGATAAACTTTTAAATTGTCACAACAAAATCAGAAAAGCGATCGCATACAAATAAGCAGATATTGTCTACGTAAAAACAGATAGGCGTAGTAAACAAGCTACCAAATACAATAAACACAAAGTTGCAGAAGACCGCGGGGTCACGATCCTAACAAAAAAAACGAAAGTTATAATTAACTATTAAATATTACAATTAGTAATTATCTCACTACTATCTGCTTCCACGATCAGTGATCACATAAATGATTTAACAAATAAAAAATATGTATGTTTAAGACAATACATATACTTCATACCTGTATCAAATTGCATATTTAACTCAAATATTGACACCTTACGAAAACATAATAAGAGGTATGTCCAACACAAGCCAAGAGGAACTAATAATCAATTAAATTGAGGCTTTAAAATTAAAAGTAATACCATCTCATCACATAACTAGATCTTTACGTTAGTTGGGTTCAATCATAAAGTTCCTCACAGGCATACCAGATCATGATGATTTAATAAAAAAATCAAAGCCGGTATACATCAACTTATAGGAAATAACAACCAACAAAGAAAAAAAATCACTGTTCGAAAATTTCGAACTTTAGATCCTAAATCACTAACTGAAAACATGGTTCCAAATGAAGTCCACCATCATTAACATCTAGATTTGCTATACATTGAAATACAGTAAAGACACTGATAACACACGTAAATGCTGAAAGCTGCCATTATTTTACAATTGGATGATTTTGTTACTGACTGCGTGGGTTATATTCTTTAAAATATAAGCCAATACAGATTGGAGTGGGCATATTCCCTTAAGCATGACTGAAGTGTTAAGCGCACTAGCTGCTAAGCCCTCAGTCGCTGTCATTTTTTTTAAATCAAGGATTTTACAATTTTTTCTTTTGTAATAATAATTTCTTAACTTATGTTTTAAGGAGGATTGAGGTTGTGATTATAATTAAATAATTTTAAGTGGCCTATTTTAAGGCGGATGTAAGTAGTGGTCTGTTCTTTGGAGAAGGAGAGAGGAAAGATGAATTTTTTGCCTTTGGCATTGAAGGCAGTGTAGGCGTGTTTAGCTTCAACGTCGGCTAATTCGTTTCCGTAGATACCTTTTTGGCTACGAGTCCAATCGATCTTTAGTTTTTCCTGATTTTTTGTTAACAGATCTCGTAGTTGACCGATTATTGGGTTGACGTTAAACAATTTTCGAAAGCTTTTAAAATGGTGATAGCGTCAGTTGGGGATATAAAGCTGTAAGAGTGTATCCAGCTACCGACTATCAGCCAACCGATATTTTTAACTAGCAAAAGTTGTGCACTATGATCATATACATTCGAAATAATAAATATGTATATAAATATAATTAATTATAATAGTCTTCGATGTGATAGTTGAATATAAAATATGATTTACTTATTCTTGCCGGCGAAGTTTTAGTGTATTTTAACAGCGAACAGAATAAATGTTGAGTTCATGCTTCCATTGGTGTGGTGGTGGTTTTTGTTGAACTATTGATGGCGGTGTGAAGATTTGGAGAATTGAAGTTTCCGTCGAACGAGATTTGCAGAGCTGGAGTATAGTGATTTGCACTTGCACCAGGTTATTTGTTCAGTTCCTCCGATTAGGCTTCCTTTCAAGTGATCAGTGCGGTAAATAAATAAAAATGTTGATTTTGGTTCGAAGAAGCCCCTCAAATTATTCATGAACCATTACATTCACCGAAATTGTCAGTTTGGTGTTGTGGAATCAGGATTCTGTACTTCATTCGAATTGAACCTGGTAGCACCGTAACTGTCAATGGAGAGTGCTATAGATATAGAAAATATGCTCCAAAAATTGGGTCCATCGAATTCATTCCTGCAAAAGAAGACGGGAGGCCACTTCAATGATGTTATATTCAAAATTAAGGTAATTATACAGAAGAGCGGCTTTTGCTAAAACTGTCCAAAAATGATGGGTTTTTTGGCTAAATAGATGTTTTTGATGATTATCTTTTCATTAAAAGGTGTAAGTTGGCGGCCTTCGGCCGGGCTTTGGATTGTAACCCTGGGCCGGACTAACACCGGCTTCGTCTTGCACAGTATTTTTAAATGAAATGCCTTTATAAAAAATACTGTGTAATTTATATGTTATTTACATGCAGGCCAATATGAATTTTCTTTTTTATTCATGTTATGAATTTTCGCTTATATTCGTTTCAATAAATCGAAAAATAATCAATGCCGGACCCACACCTGTAGGGCAATTCTCTATCGTATTATAACGATATTCGGATCCTTATAATGACTTAACGATAATTTTAACGATTTTGCTATTCTCTAAGTACAGTATAACGATTTTCGGATCACAAATTAGACTTAGCGATATTTTTAACGATATTCGCTATTCTCTAAGAATAGTATAACGATTTTCGGATCGCAAAGAAGACATAGCGATAATTCTAACGAATTTAATATTCGGTGTACTTGTTTTAACGATATTCGCTCTCGCTGTTGTCGTAAACTACTCGAAAAATCGCTAACTAAGCGACGAATATTTTTAAGTTGTTAGCGATATCGACAAAATTTTGTTATTTCATATAAGAGAGTAAAGTGTCTAAGTAATACAAAAATAAAAATAAAATAAATGGCTTTTGAATATTTGACATAGGATTTATCACTAGATGAAGAGGTATCCTACCCATCGGATAGAAGTTTGCGTCGAGAAGCGGAAGACCCTTTCCACTTGGATGCTACCGAGTTTCGCCGGATTTAGTTGAAGAAATCGTTTCTAAACTAGATTGTCAACTAAAAGGAAGAAGAATAACAGCATTTTCTACGGAGAAACAGGTAATAATATATTTTTTCAATATTTTTTTTAGTTTTAACACTATTAATATGTTTAAAGGTTCTAACCGCCTCGCGATTTTTTGCAATGGGGATGTCCATGAGTCAGTCGTCAGTAAACTGTTGTATTCATCGCGTAACAGACGCAATCAACCGTTCGAGGTTTTCTGTTAGTTTTCCAAATTTTTACTTCATCATCGTCACCATTTGTTGGCGGCACTATTGGAGCTATCGATTGCACCTGAGTCCCAAAAATCATGAAGAAGCGTATACAAACCACCATGGATACCATCCCATAAATGTGCAAATGGTGAGAGTAAATTTGTTTCCGATTACTATTGTGGTAACAAAGTTAATTATATTTTCACATAGATATGTGGTCCTTATCGCAAGATTATACTGGCAAATGCCAAGTACCCAAGAGCGCGGCACAATTATATTATTTAGAGCTCCCCTATTGAGCGAAGAGTCATGCATGAAAGTGCAAACCATAACATGCTTTTAAAAAACTTTGTAATGCATTGCTATTCTTTTAATAAAAATAATTTCAATAACAAATTTATTTGTTTTTGTCATTCCTTTTTGTACATTTTGACGTTTCGTTGAGCTGTGGTGCCACCTTTCCTACATTTTAATAAAATGGAAATGTGCGATGTCGATTATCGTAACAACTGCGTTAGAGAATAGCATAATCGTTAGCGCAAGTGACAAAATTCGCAACTTTGCGATCCGACAAATCGTGTCGATAAAAGTTACAGAATTGCACTGCTGCTCCGCTTTATTTATTGCTCCTCTTTAAGTTTCTTACACAGTATGGCAATGTCGCTTTCGCCATACTTTGTTTTATTCATTATTCTTTTTAAGTAATATATGGTAACATCGCTTTAGCCATGTATTTGTTTGTAATGTGTGTGCTAAGGATTTTAGTGTAACTTTAAATGTTAATAATAATAAAACTTTTGCAAAATTCAGCTTTCCCCCACTTTTAATGAAAAGATAATCATCAAATACATCACCTTAGCCAAAACCCCCATCATTTTTGGAAAATTTTAGCAAGAGCGGCTCTCCTGTATAATTACCAAAATTAATTGTATGGATTGTACTTCACATTAAATAAAAAACATTTAAATTACCTTAACAATTAGTATGTTGCTTTTTTTTAAATAAATCGTATCACTCTTCCTGGAAAATCCTATATATTGGCACTGTTAGTGGGTTGCGTGTGTTATAAAATTTGCACGCTTTTCGAATAGTGCATTTTTCTTGTGGTATTATTTATAGCACTTGAGGGCACGTGTTGGATAAATCAGCATGTTCGCCCAAGCAATTAGCACAGTACAATGCTTTTGCATGTGAAACAGTTTTTGGCACTTTGTAGTAGATCGATTTTATTGTCACTCAAATTAGTGGCCACTAGGACCACCATATTAAATCATAAAGTTACACGCGTTTCAACTTATTTTAGTTTGAATACTGTTCGAAACAAATGAACTAATAAGAGCAACGCCGAAAACACAAACATTCCGCACGAATGCTAGACGAAGACTGAATAGGAGATATAAAAACATTTCAAAAGCAGAATAATGCGAACTCTCCGCAGTACCAACCACTAAACGACTCTCCAAAAAATATGTTCATGCATTAAAGCGTCATGAGAGCATTGAAATGTACCTTATGCTGCAACTACCCTTTCACATACCAGCCGTCCATATGTGGCGACGCCAAGGCGAGATACATACACGAGCTCTCGACGCTGCTGAGAGCGGCGAAATGTTGCCAGCTGCCAGTGTGCTTGCACACTTTTGAACAAATGCATAATTTTCGTCAACGAATTTCATAATTTGTATGCTTGAATATAAACACAAGACAAATATACACGATCTATATGGTAACAAATAATTAGTTACGCATTATTTGATGTTACGTTGAAAAGTTTATACTGGCAACCTTGTATAACAACGAAATATGAGCCGAGCCGGTTTTACGGAAAAAATTAAATCTTCGTTGGTTTCTGTGGAACAACCGTCACTAACGGCATGAGCAAGCGGTGACAACTTTGTGTTTACATGGCGCTCTCATAAGATAGGTTAAGATGGATAAGATGGACGGCTGGTACGCGCGTTGGGTAGTTACAGCATATGCCATCTGTGCCTGCCACACAGATTTCTGTGGAACGTTCATTTAGCCCATTTTCTACTAAATTAAAAAACTTCATTTCTTGAAAAAAAAGTGGACAAAACTATCCTGAAGATTAAACTTATCGCAGCAATATCAATTTCCAACCCTTGAACAATCTAACTTTCTTGAATTTTTCACTTTTGAGCAGCAATGAAGCAAATAAATACAAACATACAACAAACATATAAGCGTATAGTCTCTCATTCATGCTCAGTTGCCGGTAACAGGACGCAAAAATAAAACGTACACATCTGTCATATCTGAATCAAAGATTATCTTTGCCTGAATGAGCATTGAGTGAGAATTTCTGTACTCTCTCTGTGAGTAACACATATTCTTTTGTTTGTTGTTTTGAGATTTAGAAAAAAATATACACATTCAAGCGTGATACAATAATTTAAAGGTAGTTTCATTCTCTCTTTACAGTCTGTTAAATAGCTACCTGACATTAAGGTGTTGCTCTTTTTCGTGCTAACTTCTTCTTTTAAAAAATCTACCATTTTAAAATATAATATATATATATGGAGAATTTTCATATTCTTTTAATTGTGTGAACATTCAAAAATCACGTAATATATTTTATTTTTTAACCCCTGATAGTGGGCATCCTAAGACCTATGCCTATACTAATTGCTGTATGACAATTTTAAGAAATTGAATGGAAGTATTAGAAATGAAAAAATTTCGTCTGGTCTGACAGTTTTAGTGATGTTTCATAATTGTTGTTTCTTTTTTAGAGTAGTGTAAATTTATTATAAAAAAACCTCATAATCACGCCAAAAGTCGTTTCAGTTGAATTCAATCTAACCGCATAATATATTGATATTAGTCAGTGGGTTAGAGTTAAACAGCTTGCTCTATCGCGGAACCCTGATCTCATGATAAAACCTTTGTTGGGGTTGTGAAGAAGATTCCTCTCAAACCAGATGCTCAAACCACTTGATATATTTTACGAAGTACAGAAAATTAATGATGCCTAGAGATGCAAGTTATGCCAAGCAATCGAAAAAGAAATTTCCGAGAAATCGATAACGGACCTTAAAAAACTTTAACCGGGGTTATGATTATCCCTGTCCGCTCAGCTCATCGACCACGCAGATCTCTTGGTATCTCTATGACCAGGGACCCAAACCACGGACACTTCGTATATAGTTGAGAAAACTCTTAAGTCTAAGTGGCAAAAAAAAGAACAAATGCGAAAAAAATGTCAACTCTTGCCTTTTTATTTATTTATGTAGCAAGTATTTTTCTTACTTCTGTCTAGGGAAAAACGGGTTGAAAGTAATATGTTAATAGGTAATATTAAAATATTTGTAATATGTAATATTAAAATATCTGTTTAGAAAATAACTCCTAAAATAATTAAAAAAATTTTTAAGTGGCAAGATCGAACATTTCTGAGAATACGTTTAAGGTCAAAAATTTCAAAGTGGCAGTACCCTATAGAATTTTCGGCATTATGCTACATATCTACATACTCAAATATTCCATGCTACTTAGGTATATACATGCTTACATATAAGTTATACATGTGAACCAATGTTTTAGAAAAATTTTGAGTTGAACGATACAACAACACCTGGGATACATAAATGCCAGCATATGAACATACATACATTTTTAAAAATGTTAAATGCATTATCTTCTCTTTTTGCTGATTTTTCGTTATCTTCTCGTAGATAAATGGTAATGCGAAGACCTCAATGTGTCAAGAATAAACGAAACTCTTTATCTTGAGAGAGCACCGAAAAATGTGCATTTTTTTAACATTGTCAAGCCTTGCCACTGAGATGAAAAATAAGTTGGGTGTTTTTATTTTTAAACTTCGAACTTTTTTAGTTTCCGCACCACCATTGAGGTATGCAAAAAAAACTCATTTCCAAAGGAGGACTATATCACCCATATATATATAATTACATAACAAACAAAAAATATGTATGTATGTATATACCATACTTAAATATAGCTAAAAACAAACAAACATGAACAAAAATTTAAAAATTAAAAGAGGAAATAATTCAAAGCTTCCAAATGAAAAATTAAAATAAGCAAAAGGCGCATAATTCATAAAGAAATTAAATATATCTTATAAAACTCATTTCAGAAGTATATAAAAACTTAATTGCACAAATTAATTATATACATACAAAAATTTATTTGTACATTCAACAGTATTAAAATGCAATGAAATGTACAAAGCAATCTGCAACCACTCCTCAATATAGACATTTAATTATGTATCTATCTATTTATAGATTAAGGTCCGCCAAAAATATTGATGCGAAACACACCAAGATTCCTATTGAAAAATTTTAATAAAAAGAAGATTTTAGTCCTGACAAAGAGGTTCAAAACGGCATCAGAGTTACAGTTGAGACAACATGTGAGGGTCTAACTTGTTTCCTTCTATCGAAAAGAATTTGGCCTACTTTTATTCTAGTTATGACAGGTGGATTCAAATTCCCTTTCTGTAACTCTTTAATATTATGTAATCTAAAAATCCTTGCGGGGGCTTAATAAGATTACATCTGCAAATTTTTCTAAGAAGGATAAAGTAAAAATGAGAAGAAACCTCTTCCTCTCCTAAATAAGATAATGGTTGGGAACAAATGTGTGTCCTAAAGATTTTTATTGTAAATAAAGATATTCGCAATAGTATACAAATGCATTTACTCTAAGAAAATCTACCTCTATATTATTCTGCTAGATCATCTAACCTATTTCTAATGTATTAATTGTATTATCTGGCCGTGGAAGGCCTTGAAATTATTGTCAAGATAAATCCCGCATCACATTATCGTTGCACACAATTCTCAGAACTTCGTTTGAAATATCTGGAGAAAAATTTTCATTTGATGAGCTCATGATTTATTAAATAATTGCAGAACAGATACGAGGTATGACAATAAAGTAATGAGACTGATTGTATTGCCACAATTGTGGTAACCTTGCGAAGTTGAAATTCCATTTTCCATTTCCAGGCAACCTTCTCCTCTTTATTGATATATGTGCCATCGCTCTAGCTTGAATTTTTTTGAGGACATCCAGGTACTCGCGAACATCCCAGTCGAAGCGTTCCAGAAACGTTACGAAGCATGGAAAACGCGCTGGAATCGTTGTATAGCTGCCCAAAGGGATGGTTGTAGAATAATTTTGAAATACATACTCAGTCTCATTAATTAATTGTCACACCTCGTAAGGTATTATTCTCACACTTCTGTCACCCCGTTTTCTAAGTTGCAAAAAAGTTTTGAACTATCTTGACAAAGTCGTTTCATTTGTAGAATTCTGAGTGAGACTGAAATTGTCATAAGCGTTTTAAACTACAAATATTTAACTTACAACCATTAATATTAGCTCGTTCGGTTTTTAAGAGATGGTGTTATTGTCCATTGTACTAGTGTTACAGGTCGCTGAAAACGTGTTTATTCGCGCTAAAAGTTTGTCTTTGACACTTTTTCGATTGATTGACTCAGTACGTTGTAAGCGCTCGTCAAAGATGGACACCAGCAGAGAAAATTCGCTATGTTTTACAATTTTTCTTGGATCAAGGAGAAAAAGCAGCCAAAGCGGCTGAGAAAATTAATTTAGTTTATGGGCCCGATACTGTAAACGAACGTGTAGCACAAAAGTGGTTTGCAGCCTTCTACGAGAGGGGTATAATGAAGTTGGCATCTCGTTGGCAACTGTGTTTTCTCTGAGGAGGCCGAGTATCTGAATATATAATAAATACAACAAAAAAAACGAAGCAACAGCCAAACTTAAGACTGGAATTTTATATAAATAAACTTCACCTTTGTTTTTTCATCTAGGCTTAGCCGATTTAATTCACTCTACTGCTTATATTATTTTCTCAAAAAAGTCTACCTCTCTCTATAAACAGTATCCTTGCCTAAAACACTACTTAATACTATAATGGTTTTGGTCTTTCCTCGCAATTCTGTCACAATTGGCATGGAAGTTTAAAGTTCACGCATAGTGACGTAGAGCTAGCTACTTTTCGTACAGTTGAGTGCGGCTTATAAGCCACAGAAGGAATGGTATGTGTGCCGTTCGAAAAGGGGCTGCCTCTACATCACTACGTACATACATACATGTAAATAATCCATTTCAAGGTTCCCTACTTTATTAAAGAAAAAATACAGAAAATTCAAATTTATTAGGGAATGTTTATTATTATTCGAAAGAATTTTTTTTGTCATTTATTTTGTGACGATTATCTCTTTCAGATGTTGGCCGGAGCTACGTCTCAGATGGCCGATACGATGAATCCAATTTTCGATGACTCGTCATCAAAATGGTCGAGATCGATTATTTATTATTTTGTTCTTAAAATATCTGTTTTAATAATAAAAACACTAACAATAAAACTCAGTACATATATTCACCATATGTATATATGTATATGTATGTTTGAAGCACTCGCACCGTATTTGATATTTATTTATCAAAACTTTGTTATTATTTTTCGTCTAATTCGAGTCATTTTAATTATTATTTGAAGGACAAGAATCTGTAGAACTTGCATATACTAAGGATAAAGAGATTTTATTAATAATATGGACAGCTGAAAAGAAAAGGGCAAAATTTAAAATTTTGCAGGGTTATAATCGTCGTAAGTCATTTCTAAATCTATTTTGATTGAGATTGTACTTTGTATAATTCACTTTTTGGAATAGTCGCACATTTCTATGGGGTGAGACCGAGAATAGAAACGCTTTTACCCTTCCCCGTATAGTAAGGGACCACCCTAGTATGCATGTATGTTTACATTTGTATATCCGAGGTGTTGTTGCGTCGTTTAACTCAAAATATTCCTATATCATTGGTTCGTATGTATAACAAATAGGTGAGTATGTATATATGTATGTATGTATTATTCCTATAGTACGAGTAAGTAGCGATGGGCTGTCGATCAATATACTCTGCTTAATAACCCAGCACTTACCCTGCAAGTTTCCTTTCCATTTCTGTTTTATTAACAATTTCATAGGCAATAGTTACTTACACCTTCGTTTACCAATGGATAGCATATTCAGTACACACCTTCGTTTATCATAATTGAATATGCTAACTTATTACCCCTTCATTTAGCAGTAAGTACCGAATTCGTTACTTACCAGGGTTGTTACAGTAGTGCAGTTGTACTGCAGTTGCAGTTACACTTTGTACCCTTTTGAAATAAAAAGATACTCAATTACATATATACATATATATTTATGTATATATAATGAATTATTTTTTGTTTTTTTCAAAAAGCCCTCTGAATGCGCTGCTTCCTTTCCAATAGCATCTGTATTTTATATTATATTTAATTAATTAAAGCGTTGCAAATATTACTATATTTGTAATTAGCTTACCAATTAATGACTCATAGAAGGAAGTAATATTGCATATGTATAAGCGAAGAATTATTCAACAAATTATTGCTCTAAGTAATGCCGAAGCCATCCGCCGACTGAATATGCTTCAGTTAAAATTCTCTTGACTTGTGTATTCGAAACCAATCATTACAGTCCTCATTTAAATCGCGTATATTTCCTATTTCCTCAATATTTTTTCTTGTGTAATTTTTTACTCGCGGCAGTAGAACCCATATTTATGCACGAAAACAATAGCAAATAATTTTACTCAATTTGCTGCGATTTCTCATTTTTCTACGTTCCCTCTTTTTACACTTTGCTCACAGTTCGTTTACCTCGCGCATTACCAGTAGTAAACATAGTAAACCAGGTAAAGTAAATCAGGTAAACTGGAAGAGACGTGAGATATGTGAGTATGTGAGTGTGTATGTAGTATGAGATATGTGAGTGTTTAGATATGTACATATGTACATGAACACATTTTTTTGAGAGTCGTTTAGTGGTTGGTATTGCGGTGAGTTCGCATTATTCTGCTTTTGAAATGTTTTTATATCTCCTATTCAGTCTTCGTCTAGCATTCGTGCGGAATGTTTGTGTTTACGGTGTTGGCGGTTAATATTAGTTCAAACTCAAAAAAGTTGAAACGTGTGTAACTTTATGTTATAATATGATGGCCCTAGTGGCCACTAATTTAAACGACAATAAATCGCTCCTCTACAAACCGCAAAAAACTGGGTCACATGCAACAGCATTTTACTGTGCTAATTGCTTGGGCGAACATGCTGATTTATCCAACACGTGCCCTCAAGTGCTATAAATAAGACCACAAGAAAAATGCACTATTCGAAAAGCGTGCAAATTTTATAACACCCGCAAGCCACTAACAGTGCCAATATAAAGGATTTTCCAGGAAGAGTGATACGATTTATTTAAAAAAAAGCAACATACTAATTGTTAAGGTAATTCAAATGGTTTTATTTAATGTGAAGTACAATCCATACAATTAGTTTTGAATATAACATCATTCAAGTGGTCTCCCGTCTTCTTTTGTAGGAATGAATTCGATGAACCCAACTTTTGGATCAATTCTATATCTATAGCACTCTCCATTGACAGTTACGGTGCTACCAGGTTCAATTCGAGGATTTGATTTGAGGATTTTCTTCGCACCAAAATCAACATTTTTATTTATTTACCGCACTGATCACTTGAAAGGAAGCCTAATCGGAGGAACTGAACAATTAACCTGGTGCAAGTGCAAATTATTATACTCCAGCTCTGCTAATCTCGTTCCACAAAAACTTCAATTCTCCAAATCTTCACACCGCCATCATTAGTTCAACAAAAACCACCACCACATCAATGGAAGCATAAACTCAACATTTATTCTTTTCGCTCTTAAAATACACTAAAACTTCGCCGCCAAGAATAAGTAAATCATATTTTATATTCAACTATCACATCGAAGACTCTATTATAATTTATTATATATTTATACATATTTATTATTTCGAACGTATATATTCGGCTACACTATAATTTTATCGTATAATATCATAGTGCACAACTTTTGCTAGATAAAAATATCGGTTCGCTGATAGTAGGTAGCTGGTTACCCTCTTTAAGCTTATGTCCCAGCAGAAGCTATCACCATTTTAAACGCTTTCGAAAAATTTTTCAACGTCAACCCAATAATCGGTCAAATGCGAGATCTGTTAACAAAAAATCGGGAAAAACTAAAGACCGCTTGGACTCGTAGTCAAAAAGGTATCTACGGAAACGAATTAGCCGACGTTGAAGCCAAACACGCCTACACTGCCTTCAATGCCAAAGGCGAAAAATTTATCTTTCTTCCCTCCCTCTCGAAAGACCGCTACTTTCATTCGCCTTAAAATAGGCCACTTCAAATTATTCAATTAACATCTGCTCAATCGGAATCCACCCCCTGACCTTTTATAATAATCCCTTAACCCTGCTATATATCCTTGACTTCTATCCGAAAAATATCTTTCGAACACAATCTCATTTTTCGCTCTATAACAACCTCAACCCTCTTTAAACATAAATTATGAAACCTGTAAAATTCTTGATTTAAAAAAATGACATCGACTGAGGGCTTAGCAGCTAGTGCGCTAAATACTTCAATCATGCTCCAGGGAATATGCCCACTCCAATGTGTATTGCCTTATGTTTTAAAAAATATAACCCACGCAGTCAGTAACAATATCATCCAATAGTAAAATAATGACATTTTCGTGGGTTATCAACTTGATTGTCTCTAAGGAGATTCTCGAAGTAAGTACTGGCAGCTGATAATACCAAACGGTATTCATTGATTATTGAACTTTTGAATAAATCCAATTCCATTGAAATATAAGAAATATTTACATACATGTATGTATGTATTTACTAACAAAGCGATTAGATTATAAGCCTTGAATGTGAGGTCAACCATTATCTGCTCATCGTAAAATTGCCGAAGTCCACTTAGAAGATTTTCCGTAAATTTGGAACCATCCTCTGCTGGGGTTGATGATACCCTGCTGCTTGCCATTTGTATTGAGATAAATTTATGATTTATAAACTGAAGAATGACATCGGCTGAAAATATGAAAGAGTATATGTGTTAGACCAAGTAAAAGTTTCGTTCGTTTTTTTTTATTGATATTTCAAAATTTGATAACTTTGTGTACATATGACTGACTGTTGCCAACGGGATGCCAACTTCATTACACCCCTCGTAGAAGGCTGCGTCCCTATTGACAAAAAACTCGGATAGCCAATTTTCACAGGCCTCTCTTGAGGCCAACTTCTCACCATTAATATGTATCATATAAATTAGATTAATCAATGTGGAAAAATTTGAAAAATATGTTCGAAAACTTGGTGTAAGAGTCTTTGAAGAAACAAAATGTTAAATTTATAAGCATAAATCATTTAAATGTTGAAAGCTTACCGAATAATTTAAATGTATAAAGCATAAGTATATGTATTTATTTAAGACGCTTGTCAAAATATATGTATAAGTATGTATATCCGTAAAGAAATGAATGGCGCAATGTTGTAAATTCGGCTATTATCGCATAAGGGTTGTGTAATCCAGTAGTGTAGGTATATATATCAATACAATCTGCATACATATGTATGTATTGTTTAATTAGATTAAGCTCTATTATTTCAAATCTACGCCTAAATTAGAAATAAATAAGCATGTACAATAATGGTTACATAAAGTAAAATATGTATATTGGTATACATATATTTTAATACATAAAAATAAATATATTAGTCAAATTATAATATGTACTCCGAAATAAACTCAATTTTGCCTTTAAGAAAATCGTATTATTTTTTTGAAACATTTTGTTAGAGCACTTTTACTCCGTCGGTTGAATCTCAGCGTCTGTACTTCTCTTCACTATTCGCTCTCTCCGTAAAAGTGAGAGTAGGCAGCGTACAAGGCGACTTTTTTGATGAAGTTCACTTTGTTCTCTTTTTGTAAAGCCGATTTTGCTGCTAGTACAGAATCTTCAGCATATAAAAGCCTGAGAATGGAAAATAATAGCAGCTTTTCTGAAGCTGTCTTTAGGTGCTGCATGGTTTATAGTAGTCCAAGATTCTGCGGACAAAACTAAAGCAACCCCTACATTGATGTAAAGAAAAACGTCTCTAGGCTAATACTTTGTAGCAAAGCCCTTACTTTTTATTATTGTAGGACATCTTTTAGGCATTATCGATGACATCCTGAGGTACGCTTTAAAACAGCTTTAAACAATTCGTCCTTGGTTCTACAGTGTTCCCTATTAATCTACAAATTTACGATCTTCCATAAGTTCTCAATAGGGTTGCCTTTACGTCTCAACCGAGTTTTACAATGCTAAGGATCGCTCTCCTGCTGGAAGCTCCATTTCTAAGAGATCTGCTCTTCAGCATATACCAGCATCAGATTTTTTTAAAATTTCGGTATACATAAAACGATCCATTATTCCTATTATTTGATGAAAGGAAATTATGAAAGTTGTTCAGACTACACTAGCTATGCCTGCCACTCAGGTTTCTGTGAAACGTTCATTTAGTCCATTTTCTACTATATTAACAAATTTCAGTTTTTGAAAACACAAGTGAATAAAACTAACCTGCGAGCGATCGCAGCAATATCAATTTCCAATCCATGACCAATCTAACATTTTTAAATTTTTCGCTTCTGAGCAGCAATGAGCCAATAAATACAAACATACAACAAACACATTAAGAAACAGATCGCAAAAATAAAACGTACACGTACATACATACCTGAATCAAGGTTTGTCTTTGCCTGAATGAGCAGTGAGTGAGAATTTCTGTACTCTCTGATTAACAAAGATTCTTTTGCTTCTCTCCTTTCACGTATGAGATTTGAAAAAAATACATGTTTAAGGCTGCAACTACCCAACTCACTCTCCAGCCGTCCATAACTGACGACGTTAGTAGTGAAATACATACACGAGCTATCGACGCTGCTGAGAGCGGCGAAATGTTGCCAGCTGCCTGTGTGTTTGCACACTTTTGAACAAATTCATAATTTTCGTCAACGAATTTTATAATTTATTTGCTTGAACATAAACACAAGGCAAATATATATATACTATATGGTAATAAATAATTAATTACGCATTTATTTTTCATTTCTTTCGAACAAAACTACGCATTTTCTTCGATCATTCAATGTTACTTTAAGAAAGGCTATACTGGCAACTTCGTTGGTTTCTGCGACACAAACGTCAGCAACGCTATGGTAAATCGGTGACAACTTTGTGTTTACATGGCGCTCTCATAAGATAGGTTACTATGGACGGCTGGTACGCGCGTTGGGTAGTTGCAGCCTAAGTGTGATGATAGCAAGTAAATTCTCTCTCATGAGAAATCTTATACACATACTCGTACATACATATGTTCAAATTTCAGCGCTCATAAATAGAAATTTCTAAGCCTTGTTGAAGACTATTTTTTTTATATTTGCAGTGAATAAAATGTGTTTTTTTTTTTGTTTCAGGCTGTTAGTTATTTCATCCCTTATTCTTTGGCCTTTATTTTGCAACGTAGAGGTAGGTAGTAGCTATTGTTTGGGTAATATCATCTTCATATTCTAAATTGTATTGCCTGCAAATGTTGTATTGTATGCAGAGAAGGTAGAACTTAGAGAATGTGCAAAGTTAGCGTTTTTTGACATTTCTGTCAGAAAAATTTCGTTTGATGTAATCGTCATTTCCTTCTCGTCTTGAATTTCTGTTTGACCACGACAAAGAACGTAAATACCAAGAAACCCATTTTGAGTCGATTGAGGACATCCAGGTGGACGTGAAGAGGGTGCCCGCGAACATCCCAGTGGAAGCGTTGCAGAAACGTTACGAAGCATGGAAAACGCGCTGGAATCGTTGTCTTATACTGCAACTACCTAACTCACGTACCTTCCGTCCATATCAACCTATCTTATGAGAGCGTCATGTAACCACAAAATTATCACCGCTTGCCCATGCCGTTAGTGACGGTTGTCCTGCAAAACCGGCTCGGCTCATTTCTCGTTGCTATACAAGGTTGCCGATATAGTCCTTCTCAAAGTAATATGAAATAATCGAAAATAATGCGTAGTTTTTTTCAAAAGAAATGAAAACTAAATTCGGAACTAATTATTTGTTACCATACAGATCGTGTATATTTGTCTTGCGTTTATATTCAAGAATATAAATTATGAAATTCGTTGACGAAAATTATAAATTTATTTAAAAGTGTGCAAATACACAGGGAGCTGGCAACATTTCGCCGCTCTCAGAAGCGTCAACAATTGTGTATGTATCTCGCTCTTGACGTCGCCTGTTATGGACGGATGGTAAGTAAAATGGGTAGTTGCAACATAACGTTAACATACAACAATGGGTGTTTTCAGCGAACTGAGCGCTCAGTAAATATGTGCTGGGACGGAAAGATAAATGTTAATTTGCAAGATAGCGTTTTCATTTCTTTTTTTGTCGTCCTGGCATATTTTTCATAATTATGTTTATTTATTTTTTTACTTAATAAGGTTCCACATATTTTGGCCGCTTATGGGATTTGAAAACGATTATTGTTATAAAATTTAGGTACACATCTTAAGCAAAGGAATTCAATTTTCGTTTGATTTTTCAGGCGAATTTTTTGATACTTTCGTTAATATGGCGCTGAAACGAAACGATTTCATTTCGTTGAGTTAATATTTCTTGTTAACGGGACGGTATGATATCGTTGCGTTTATTGAACATCTCTGGTTATATTAACATGCCTATTCTGTCGAGGTAACAAAATTTATTTTGGAATTATAATTTACCATTCAGTAAATTTTGTTACTATTTCGTATTCTGAGTTCATCTGTCACTCTGTAAATTTTGTTACCGGCAAAATAGGAGGTAAAAACCAAAATGCGTAGGCACATTTTAGTGTAAAAAGGCGTATTTTAGGCCTGGAATTCATTGAAAAAGAGGAAAAAATTGGAAAAAGGCGCATGCTAAAAAGTTTGCAAGAAACAAATGACAATTTTAATTTTTAGGAAAGCGTTTTCATTCACCTTTTTTTTGTGGTCCAGGCATATTTTCCATAATTAGGTTAAATATTTATGATTTAATAAACAAATTAATAAAACTTTTTAATTTTTTTGTGCACCGTCTTCCATTTCGATGTGAATATTTTTATTTTTACTTTATCAACTGGCAAATGCAATTTGACATGGACGAAAAAAGCTGAGCTGCCAAATTTTTTTCAAACATTGTAACCAGTTCGCCAGAATATCAAATTCAATTTCGGGTGTTAAAGACAAGTAACAAAATATACTTTACCGGTAACAATGAGAATAGGTCTGTAAATGGAGTATTTGGGAGTCTTACTTTGTATATTTTGTATGCGTCATTTGTATATATATACAATTGTGAAATATTATACATAAACCATGAAATACTAAATTATAGTCATTGTTTTAACCCCCATATGTAATAAAATACTATATACCATGAATATATGAATCTTAATTTCTTCATATTTCCATTAAACTATACATTTTACGGCGCTTACGACGCCACGTGAGTAATACCGAAACCCATTCGTTGTTGTTTCGGGGATGGCAAAGATGTTTAGATAGGAAACTTAATTAAATTCGCTCATATAGCAGCTAGTAGCGTTCTCTCAACTCACATTGTAGTGTTGGCGTGTCTGATTGGGAAGCAGTTTTCGTTTCGAAAAAAATTTGCTTCAGCAAGATATTTTAAAGAAATTGCTGTTAAGAATAAAATATTCGATTATTTATCAATAAAATATTGTAGCAATTTTGTATTGTTCGTAAATAAATGACCAAAATTCATCTGAAAATCCAAAAAGTCAACTTTCAATCACAGCGGGACTGGTCAGAAACGTAATAAAAATTTCGGATTTTTAACCGCTCTCACGAAGTAATGAGTTTTATATCAAATCATCTTTGATTTTTATTTAATGGTGTTCGGTGAAAACTCTATAAATTGCGCCCTTTGGAAGAGTAAAACATCTTATGCACTCAATTTTGTTACTGGCTAATTCTTAGTGATAACTTTCACTGAGCAAAGCCTTATATATGTTTGTAATAATTTTAGATCGGACAACATTCAAAAAAAGGCATCCGGGTCACCATGCAAAATCCATAGTTCTAATTTCAAAGGATATTTGTTTCATTTGGAAATAAATATTAAAGAAATCATTGTATTTTGATGTAAAAACTTAAGAGAATTATTTTCTTTTCAATCAGATATTGTAGTACAATTGAAATTAAGGAAGTATGTTCTGAATTTTTATAAAAAAATCGTATTTTCGAACGATCTTACGAAATGAAGAGTTTTGTATCTAGTCATCTTTTTCGATGGTTTCGCGACGCCAGAGAGAGCAAGCGCTTTAGAATACGTGTGAGCAGCAGTGCCACAATTTATGTGGTCAAATATACATACGAGTATGGATATAAAACTTATGTTTATGTAAATATATTAAATTTAATTTTTTGTTTGGGGTTTTCTAGTAGTATTGCGGGCTCTACTAGTATTCTTCGAGTCGTGCTCATCTGTCGCTATATTCATTTCAAAGGTACTGTCATTTCGCGTCGTTTTCAGTAGATGTCATTTGACGACGGAGAACGACCCGGACAGCCAAAAAAATTTCAAGACGAAGAATTGGAAACATTGTTCGACGCAGATGCATGCCAGACGCAAGAAGAACTTGCAAATGGAACTTGGGATGGGATCCACAAACTGCTAGAAAGATGGGTTAGGGGCTCAAGAATTTACCCGCGGTAAGGCATGCCTGTCGTAAA